TGTATTCTAAAAGACCATACATATGCTTAGAAAAATCAGTTAAAGTTCTTAATATTTGATATACACTGTATTTTCATAATAGTACCTGTATGACTACTTTTAATAAATAAAAAGTTATTTATTAAATCTTATAATAAATAAAGTTTTATTTATTAAATCTGTATTTATCTTGCTTTAAAAGGGATTCTGAAAAGTAGGACCAATGGTGTAAAAAAGTGTATCAAAACAAGTAAGTTTTAAAACACTAACAATATTCAGAATAAAAAAGTGAGAGTTCCAATGCAAATAATTAATTTTTATATAGTTGGAGCCACAGGTATAGTGAATTTATACAAATAGCTCCTAGCTAGCTCCAGAAAGTACAAACAAGTACTGAAAGCTGGATTTTAATCAGAAAACAGTTGCCATGCTTAGGTTCGATGTACTATCCAATCAAAAATGTCTACAGAGCAGCATGAAGCTATGGAACTTGCAAATGTCTTCTAAATTAACCTCATAACACACCAGCTCACAAGTCATTTTGCAGAGTAAGTTCAATGTTTTTCCAGTACTACAGTAAAATTCAGACTCTAATAATGAAGCAGCTCCGAACTACAGAGGTATGATTCAAAACTAAAACCCTATGTACCCAAAAAATAAGCATGCACATTCTCCTCACATGGATGCTAAAAATGTGGATGTCACTGAAGGATAGGGAATTGTGGTAACTCAAATCCAGGAAAGGTAAAGGGGATAGAAGGTAGAGGGACACTGAATACCAGATACCAAAACACAGATCACAGGAGCTAAGTTCTAATATCCTCAGCATAATAGTGTGGCTATAGTTTAATAATGATTTATTATACATAAGAACTAAAAAGAATTCCAAGTTTCCTAGCAAAAGCTAAATGAGGAGAATTAAAATGCTATTACCAATTATTACACATTGTATACGTAAGCCAAATTATCACACTGCACTCCTGTAAATATATCGTGTCACTAAAACTCTGTGCGCCAAAAAAGCAACTAGATTACATGACTGCTAAGAAAGTTGTGAAACCAATCAACATGTATTACTGTACTCTGCTCAGAAGGAAAGCAGCACAAGCTAAAATCTTTTTTTTTAAAGACAGGAAAACACATCACATGAGCAAGTTAGCACATATTTATTTTTCTTTACACTTGCAGAAACACTTTAGTATATAAATCAACTCTAAATAAACATGCAGGGTGCCTCCGAGAGACAAATGGTCTTTTCAATTTGCTTAATCCCTAAAGTATGGTTATACTATAGGAGAGATGTTTTTAACAGTGAGTAACAACTTTGATGGTAACTTGTGTCATTAAGCAGTGTTGCTTGACACAGTAAAAATAAATCAAATTACTGCCATAAACATATCAATGTGCCATATAAAGGAATGACTTCTATGTGGCGTATGTTTACACAGTAGTTTCACTACTCTAGAAAGCTGAGGCAGGGGGATCCCAAGTTCAAGACCAGCCTGGGAAACCTAGCAACTTGGCAAGTCTGTCTCAAAATGTAAAAGAAAAAAACTAAAAAGGGGCTGACAATGTAGCTCAGTAAGAAGGCCCTGAGCCCAATCCCAGGTACAAAAATACAATGAATATCAACACTCAAGGTCAAATATTTCAAATCCAATATTCATGTCCTCACTGAAATTTTCTTAAAAATGTATGCTGCTGGGCAGTCCATCTAAAAGCTACATGCAAACAAATGTAGTAAGACTCATAAGACTTTCCACAGTTAAAAGCATTCTGTAAAATAATACTAAGACTCAGAAGAGGATCAGGGCCCTCGTGGCTGCTTTCTCAAGATCAATTAACATCCCAACTTCTGCACATCTTACAGAGCCAAAAGCAATTTTCTGTTTCTTACTTTTAATTTTTAAAACTGCTTAAGGATCTCTGAAGACAGTGAAGTATATGAACAAAAAATTGGCCTTTTAACAATTCCAAAAAGCAATCTAGTTCAAGGTAACAGAAAACAAAACATAGCAGCTACTAGTTTGCTAATTTTACAGCAATGCAAAATCAGGGTTACAACATAACCACAATCTACAGCTATAGCTCTTCCTGTCCCGAGAAACATAAATATGACCTTTTCTTTATGGGTTTTTCTAATCAAGATTGAAATTAGTAAAAATCTATGTCATTATTATTTTGCAACAAAAATTTACGAATAGGGGCTGGGGATTTAGCTCAGCGGCATAAGCACCTGCCTTGCAAGCAGGCAGTCGTGAGTTCGATCCCCGGTACCGATAAAAAAAAAAAAAGAAAAAGACAAAAATTTATGAATAGCTGAGAAGTCACTGTTGGCCAGGCGTGGTGGCACAGGCCTGTAATCCCAGCCCTCCAGAGCCTGAGGCAAGAGGACTGCTGCAAATTGAAGCCACCATGGGCTACATACTGAGCTTAAAAACAGCCTTAACTTTTACACAGCGTGAGCCTGTCTCAAAAAAAGTTATTGTCCAAAGAGTGTTTTTATTAAGGTTACAGTAAGATTTCATCTTTGAAACTCTATCCTAAATCTGATTCCAAAACCAAAACTCTTAATAAAACCATTTTCAAAAATGTTTTCTAGTGGAAGATATACTTTAGCAGCGCCTGCCTGACAAGCGTGAGGTCATGAGTTTGATTTCTGATACCAAAAAAAAAATTTTTTGTTTTACAAGTTAGAAAATGCATGTCTTTTATTGAACCAAATACTCTAAAGAGCAGATGAAGTTTGAACCAATTAACATAAATCTCTTGCCTAACAGCACAAAGTTAAATAATTCTAAACTGAAGAGCTTTATCATTCGAAGCTTCGCCATGTAGTTTCCTGTCTTAAAAATGTACACACTACACATATATGAACACAACTGTTACAGAATCTAAGATAATTAAAGCAAACAAACATTAAGAAAGTTTAAAAACTAATTTTACTTAAGTCAAACTTTGTACAATCATAAAGAAATATTAATAAACCTCATTAAACACTTCAATGAGGGTGACGTAAAGTAACAAGAAATAGTCACCAAAACTGAGTATTTTCCGTATCAATAAAAACATTTCAACCGAAATCAATTGTTAAAAAAGAGTACACCAAATAGGAACAATTGTATGACTGGAGAGCTGAAATTTTATTAAGTAAAAAAAGTCAAACGGGATGATATCCCTGCCAATCCCACTTCCAGATTGCATACATCATCCTTGAAGGAAACTGTAGAAATATTAGATGTTTAGCCTTGGACTAATCTGGGAAACAGTTTACATATAATCAAATGCTAAGTTAATATTAATATAAAGATAATTAGTACTACTGTACTGACACAAGGACCAAAGTAAAAAACTTAAAACAACATGTACATAAAACATATATTTTAAAAGCTTTAGAACATTTACAATACAACAATGTAAGCCTTTGTGATAGGTAACACAACACAATGTAAATAACTTAAAGATACATCATCAGCAAGCAATTCAAAATCCCCCCCGATTTTAAAGTGTGGTTAAAATGAAAAGATTCCTAGTATTCAGTGGTGAGGCCTTCAGGCAGAGTAATCTGACACATTCATGTGTCAACAGCACAATACCCATTCCAACCTTTAAATACAACTATATAACTTAAAAGACAGAATGTTCAAAGGAAATGAAAAATACACTAAAAAGCTGCACTTTAGAAGTCTAGTATCACTGAAAAATTAACACCACATGAACCTCTGCACTATCTTAGGAAATAGTGAGAAAGCTTATTTAGTTCTCCACGAGCCTGATTTACCTGTATCTAACTTGAGCTTACAGAAGAGCTTTTGCCTCAAAGTTCAAACTAATATTTTCTTTGCTTTACAAAAGAAAAACTGCTTTTTCTTGGTATGTACTTACATGTCACCAAAGTAATTTCTAATTCAAAATAGTTTAGCACTGCAGAACATTTATAGTCTTTCCTTCTTGCCACACTTGGGACTGAACACCTTCTCACTGAGCTACATCCTCCTGCTCTTTTTCTTGCAACAAGGTCTTGTTAAACTGTCCAAGTTGGGTTTGAACTTGGGATCCTTTTGCCTCCGCCTCCCAGTGCTAGGGTTATAAATGTGACCCACATGCTATTATCCTCATTCTTTCAGTTTTTTCAGTTACAGATTCCACAACAATGCTGTCCAATGGAAAAATAATGGTGGCCACATATGTTACTTTAAATTTTCAAATAAGTTATTTGCTGACGAAAAAACAAAATAATCCTGTGGCTGTGGTCCTGCTACCCAGAGCGCTAAGGCAGAGAACTGCTTGAGCCCAGGAATCTTGAAATGAGCAACATAGTGAGACCCAGCCTCAAAAAAAAAAAAAGAGAAAAGAAAATTAATTTTATTTAACAATATCCAAAATTATCACTTGAACACCACCAACTTAAAAACTGATAAAATAGTTCAGCATAACCTTTTCATATAGAGTCTTCAAATGCTACTGTGCATTTTACAGCACAATTAGGACTAGATTTCAAGATATCAACAGCTGTTACATGTGCCTAATGGCTACTCTGCAAGACAGCACATGTCTAGAGTTCTTTCTCTGGATTTGAAATAGATATACAAAATAATAGCAAACAACATACTTTGTAGGGTTGGGAGGGACAGCAGGCCTGGGGTGCAATAACCCAATTTTGCAGGCAATCCCTATTTGCTAGTGAGGGTTCCTATTTACAATGGTATAACACCATCATTATTAATAGCACCAGCTGTAATTCTCACAAATATCTTACTCTGGGTGACAAATTATAAGATCACTCCACCTATATAATCCTTAAAGGTGATTCTACACTCCTTGGAAGAAACTTTAGTATAAAGTCTATTCTGATGCCTGGAAAAGCAGCTCTAAATTCAAAGGAAAGAACCCTAAATTCACTGCCCTCATCATCCAAAAAGAAAAAAAAGTTGCTGAAAATTCTTTTCATTTTAAATTGCAGACTAAAAAAAAAAAAAGAAAAAAGAAAAAAGAAAAAGAAAAAAAAAAGTAAGAATTACCTGTTGAACAAGGCATCTGGAAATTGGGATCATTGCTATCCAAAACGGGCAAACAGAACTGGTTACTTGCAGATCCTAGCATAGGATCCTTATCGCTGAGCATGTTCTTCAGCGAGTCCTCTAAGACATTTTGACTTGCACTAAAATCCTCACAGACTTCATTCTCCAGGTTGGATCCTAGAAATAGGGCATCATCTAAGTGTTCAGTAGAAATTAAATGATTAAATGTATCAACTATATCCATGAAGACTTCTGTGTGTCTTTCAGCCCTATAGAAAGACAAAAAAAATACCATAAATAAAGCTATCAATTGAAAATCACCTAATACCAAATTATTTTAATAGTTTTGAGTCTAAGAACACACTTCTGAATTTTTGTTTAAAAAAAAATCCTGTCTTTAAATAAACATTTGGAAATGTGGAACGAATCCTTACTAAATAATCTTTATCATGCATGTAAATATTATTTAACCAGAAACCTACAAAGTATTTATTCAAATTCATTACTTCTAGGGAAAAATATCATGTATAGTTCATTAATTTGTCACACTTAAAAAAATTACATGGCTTAAACATAAACACCAAATGTTTTAACTGTAACACTTCCATAAGTTAAAAATCAAACACTGCTCTTACAGTAGGTCCACATAAAAAGAACTTTAATCCAATCACTGAAACGATTTACAGAAAGGTAATATATAGAACAAAAAAAACCTCATTTTGTGAGGGGAGAGAAAAAAACTCCAAAAAAGAAAGTATTAATTAAAGACAACAAAACAAAAACTACAGAGGCAAAGACCTGCACATGCAAACAGCTTCAGCGGTAGAGGTGGGGGTGGGAGTGCTTTTCAGGCCAAAATGAGAATTAAAAGAATCTTACGTACTTAAATTGATTTTAGTGAGCTATGTGTCATCTACATGGATATCATTAATTTCCTACATACTGTACCTACAAAATATTATTCAACAAAAGTCATCTTAAACTTTAAAGGAGAATCAACTGCCAAATTTGATTACTGAATTATTTTCAATACTGATTTTTTTCTTTTTTCTTTTCTCGTACTGGGGATTGAACTCACGACCTCACACTCGCCAGGCAGGCACTTATGGCGCTGAGCTAAATCCCCAGCTTCAATACTGGTTTTAGACAAAGCCAAACCAATATATTCTGTGGAAGAAAGAGGAATCAACCAAAAAACTTAGTATTAGGTTAGAAAATTTCACTGACTAAACAGAGTATCTTCAGCTCTACAATTCCAAAGTTTTTTTCACATATGCTCCAAATCTACAAAAACTCTCAACCTGGCCTTGAATTCAGGACTAAAGGATTCACATTCATATGTACCATTTACTGGGTACATATCATACGCCACACTGTGATAAACCTCTTGCCTGAATTTATGTAATTTAATCCCCCCAAGTAAATAGGATCTGCTATTATTATTTTGTTGCTGTTGCTCTGGGTTTGTATTTTGCAGTAGTGGAAACTGGGCCTTCTCTCACTGAGCTACATCATACACTTGTCATTTTTTTGGACAAAGTCTCACTAAGCTTCCCATGCCTTGTTTCTAGTACCAACAAAATACACTTAATTTAAATGTCTTTCCCAACATCACAGCCAAGATTCTCACCCAAGTTACAGGCTTCATAGCCCAAGCAGGGCTTTCACTGAACTAAACAGCGGGAAAGATCTGACTCCTTAGAGGATCGATGCACTCACAGAAGTTAATCTCTTCTACACAAAAGACTTTGGGTATCTCTTCTCAAAATCTGCTACTTATTTATGCTGAAATATTAATAGAATACTGAAAGGAACCCATTATTTTACATGCATTCTTGGTAATGAAAAGTTTGAAAAAGTTCTCAGTATCTAAGAAAAATTCAATTATATATTAGCAATTCCTATACTTTTTTTTTAGGCTCCAAAGAAATTTCAATATTGGGGCTGGAGATTTAGCTCAGTGGCATAAGCACCTGCCTTACAAACAAGTGGTCATGGGTTTAATCCCCAGTACAGATTAAAAAAAAATTTCTTTTCAATAAATTTAAGTAATTAAAAATAAATCACCAAAAACATTTACTATGTTTACAAAATTAAATAGGCCAGAACTACCAATGAATTCTTTTATCTGGCTATGCTGGAGTCCAAGCTTTGCAAGCCAAAACTTTCTTTTAGAGCTATACCCAACTAGTAATCACCACCACCATCACCCCTTGCCAGATGAATGAAAAATAAAAAGGCAATTCCAACTCTAGACATAAACTGTTAACTTCCCTTCTAAAACCTACTAGGAAAAAAATGCACTTATTCCCATAGCAACATAAGCTAGTAAATTCAACAAACTTCACCTGATATCTTTCTATAACACAGAATATATATGGTGTGCTTTCAAGTTGTGAAAACATTCAAACTGAAAGAGTAGTAAAATACAAAACCTATAATAGATATTATAGTAATGAAAGGGAAAGTGCTCTAAAGATATAACTACATTGTATAAGTGTGCAAGATCACCATACCACACTTCTTTAGTTCATCAAACAGGATAGTTCGTGCTGTCATTGTCTGTCCACTTTTTATGCTTTGATTTTGTAATGAACAACTACTTTTAAGATAACAATATGTCATTTTATCAACTAGTGTTTTTTTGCTGCTTTTTTAAAAAAAATTCTGTATTATTTCTACCATTTTTTCTGTTTTGCTTTATTTCTCTAAATTAAAAAAAAGAAAAGAAAACATTTATAAATTCTGGTCACCCAAGATCACAAAGCTTTCCGGAAGACCAGCCCATTCTAAATAATTTTATAAATGAATGAGGGTTTTCCCCAGTACTACTACTGTTTATGAAAACAGTGCCTTCAGAAGCTGTGACCAACTGCTTAAACTCAACAAATGAGAACGAGTCTTTACAAATTTATTTTAAAAAACAAAATAGTAAACCATATTATAACTTCCAATGGTTTTTAGGCAAAACTAATCTGGCTTACAAGGTGTGGTTCCCTTCATTTACATAAAAGGCATTATCAAGGAAAAAGATTCTAAGAGCAAAAGTAGAGAAAGAGTATAACAAAGCTACATTCCTTTAACAATACTTTTTTTTTCTTTATTCGACTGATGTTTACTAAATAGCTACACTACTAAATGAGACACCTATTTGGGTCAATGAGAATAGGAATCTTCTAAGACAAAATAAAAGTATAAAGCATTTCAAATTTATGGGTCCAAAGATTGCACTTTCAAAAGGATACATCACAAGACTAGCACTTTGTGAAGTACATTTTACAAAAAACTGTTATGAACTGTGAGCCTGTTTTTCTTTAGTGCTTCCAAATGGCTGTGCAAAGGTGATCCCAAAGGGAAAAAAATGTCAAAAATAACAGTAACACAGACACCTACCTAACACTTGAAAATAACATTTATTAGAGGAATAAAGTAGTTTACTTTAAAAAATCAGTTTCAGATATTAAATACTATCAAAAATAAAAATGTTAAGCACAAATATTAACTAATATTAACAAATATTAGTATTTACTCAAAACAGACACACTGATCTATTAAATGCAATGTGTACTGAATCATCGAACTGAAAAAAAGTGGAAAAACTGGTAAACTAGGAAAGTATACAATTTAGCTGATAGTAATGCAGTAATCTCTTTTTAAAAGTCATCTCTTAATTCTGACAGTCACTAGTGTTGTGTCAGATGTTAAAAATCAGGGAAACTTTTAGGCACACTAGTGTACACCGGTAACCCCAGCAATTCAGCAGGTTGGGGCAAGAGGTTCGCCAATTCAAAACCAGTCTAGAAATCATAGGTAGACTCTCCTTTCAAAGAAGGAGGGAAAAAAAAAAAAAAAAAAAAAAAAAAATCAAGGAAACTGAATTAAGGATATCCAAGAAATCTACACCCCCACTCCAATGTTCTTACAAACTTAAAGTTATTTCAAAACAATACCTACTAATGCAGGAAAACAAAGATAGTAAGATCTAATTAAGGAGAAAAGTTAACTTAGTATCTTTATTAATAATACAGACTGCTTGATCTTCAGTCTATCAAATTCCCACATGAGCTATTTTGGCAGCTGGTTGGCTTGATCTTATCAAGTTCCTGTTTCATAAGCTGCAATTTTAAATACCTTTGTTAGGCAATCTGAGTTTATTGAAACATAGCAAGTTTATCTACAGTGCATTTTAAAATGGCTAACGGTGTGTATATCTAGTTAAATCAGTGTTAGTTATACCCAAATATACATGCTAATGTCAGAAATTATTTCTGTGCTCAGAATCCGACCTCATGTATACAGACAACACAATGCATGCAGCTAGATCAGAGAACTACATAATGTGCTTATAATTAAAACTACCCATTCATTCTTGCATTTATTAAATATCTACTACAAAGCATTATTATTAGCATGCATCAATGAAATAAACCCCAGGCTCAAGTACAAGGAACTCACAATGCAAGACAGAATATAAAAATGTAACAATTATAAAGGCATGAAGGCATGTAAAACAGCTAAACAAAATATGAAGTGCTGCTAAGTGTGAGGGTGCACACTGTTATCCCAGCTTCCAGAAGGGTGAGGCAGTGCATTTAAGGCCAACCTGCACTTAGTGTGAAACTCTGTCTCAGAAAAAGCAAATGAACAAAAAAATCTCAACATATCAAGTGTTGTATTGGAGTAATGCAGGTGGTGTCATGAAGGGTCAAACTCAAAGTCAAGAAAGGCTAAACAGATCATCTATGACCTGGATTCTAAATGTCCAGAGGCTATTCGAGGCCAAGGGAAAGTTAATCCTAATTATAAATGGCTAAATTCAGTTCTAACAGACTGTTCATAAAGGCCCAGAACACAAGTGAAGTAAAAATGATTAGTGCTAACACTGTAATTAAAATTTAATCTGAGCCACAAAGACCATGTCCATTTTAAAAACACCTGTTTCAGCCCAGGTGGTGGTACAGGCTTGTAATCCCACCACTAGGGAGGCCTAGGCAAAAAGGATCACTACAAGTTTGAGGCCAGCTTGGGCTACATGAGTTCAAGGCTGCCTCAATACAGTTGATCAGATCCTGTCTCCAAACAAAAAAATGAAGCAAAACAAACACTTCATCTGTAACTCTAAAAGAATTATAGTGCAGTCAAATTTAGTTCATAACAATAAAATCAAATTATATCATTTTCTACCTATTTCAGATACAAATAGAATGAGAACATTTTTAAAAAGTATAAATATATATAATAGGAAATACATTTGTATAAAAAGCCACTT